CCCTGGCAGGTGGATCACTCTCCAGTGCTGAAAAGCTCCAGGCAAGAGCATTCATGGCTTCCTTTGTTCCAGCATCAGACCTGGAAGTACCTTCTGATGTCTAACGCTCATCTCTCTGACTTCAAGCATTGTTTTCTCTTGGGTTGTTCTCAGGGGAATTTGAGGCTTTCCTTAGTTATTTTCCTCTATCTTCTCACAATAAGATCTGATAAACACATAAGTGCACTTAACTCTATTTCATTTTATTTGTACAGTACTTTTACATGCCAGTACCCAGCCTGAGCTTGATGTATACATTTAGAAGTAAAACTTTTTTTCTCTTTCAACTTTCCATGTTAGTCTCTTATTCTTTTATTTTCTCACATTCCACTTGCATTCCCTGGATTTGCCCTCATCCACCCACTCCTATATGAAAAAAAGTAGTTGAAGAAGTGAGAAAAGGAATTTAGGAGTGGTGTTGACATTAAGAAAAATCAGTTAGGGAAAAGAAGAAAAAGAAAAGTCAAGGATTAGCAACCTGAACTCCATCTTCTTAGCCTCTACTAGCCCATACCCGTTGCCATCGAGTCAATTTCGACTCATAGTGACCCTACAGGACAGAGTAGAACTGCCCCCATGGGGTTTTTAAGGCTGTAATCTTTACAGAAGCAGATTGCCGCATCTTTCTCCCAAGGAGTGGCTGGTGGTTTGAACTGCTGACCTTTTTGGTTAGCAGCTGAGTGCTTAACCACTGTGAGAGCCAGCCAGTGAGGGAGAATTTGTGGTGGCACTAAATTGCCAACACTGCATTCAAGATGCTATGGACTTATGTCTCTGGTTGTGTCTTGTTGGGGTATGCTGGGTTGGGGAGGCCAGTGTGTCAAATCCCTTTCCCTAACTCCTCTAGTTTCTTTAAGTAACATGACTATCTGCCTGTCGTGACTGTCACTGCCCATACAATAATGCCTCTACCAAGCTTCTCAGGCCACCAGTTTACTTCCTTGTTATCCATACACCAGATACAGTCCCCTTTCCTCCTACCACCTTCCTTTCTCACACCTATCTTTCATTTTATTCCAACTCAACCCTACTCCTCCTTAAAGGGATCCATTCTATTCCCTGTTCTTTAAGGAACACCTTCTCCCACCACCCCCACCATTCCCGAAACCTAAACCTAAACCCGCTGATCGTTTCTGACTCATGACGACTATTTGCAACTCTGTCCTTTCTGGCTTCCTCTAGCTTCTCTCCTTAACCAAGCCTAGCTTTCTTTGAGAGGGTACTCAAAAGAACAGCTGTTCTGTTTCTTTGAAAATCTCTTTCTCATGTCTCTTTCATAATAGACAGGAAAAGGAGGCTAGGCCTGTCCTTTATTTTCCAGTGCTACTTCCATAAGATGAATGCACTCTATTTGGGACACCCTCAGATAGATGTACTACCCTTTGTGCATCTCGCACATCACATACTTATCCTTTGTGATAATGACTTAAAGAAGTAGCTTCACTCCACAAAAGCACTTATCTTTTGAGTCCTAGTTG